TAATCGCATATCCGCAAATTCGTGAAAGGAAATTCAAAGTAAGTCACAGTTTGACAAATTATTGTTATTATTGACAAGGACTATCCACCTGTAACTATCTGTTAATGACAAAAAACATCATTGCCGCTGTGCCTTTTCATCAACAAATTGCAGAAAAGAACTTTTTTGATATAAAAAATTTTCGTAATTTAAAGCAAAGATGGTAATTTCTCTTTTTGAATGCTTAAGTATTCCAATATGCTACCAATTAAACATGGAACAATTTCAAAATAATGCTTAATAACAAAATTGAAATTCGATCTTCAACTGTTAATATCTTCTAGAAAATTTCGAAAAAAACAATTTTCCAAAATTAATCACCCCTTAAAAGGAATGACATCAATTTTGAATCACCCTGTATTTAAATGTACTGGATATATTACAGCTTACTTCTTGCCTCAGATACGTAAAGTAGCATTTTATATATGTACAGACTTAAATGCAAAAATAGTACGTGCTCGCAAATTATTTGCATTGTTTCTTCTTATCCTAGTGTTAAACCTTGTTAAACTTATTTGTTTGGAAAAAAATTGTGGTTCTGAGAAGAACCGATTTGTGTTTGAATAAGTATATTCCTACTTTAAGATAGGAAAAAACATTACTCTTTTGTTATGCTCGGCGATTTTTCAATTTTGGGTTTAGGTGCGTTTGGTTTTTTTCGTTGAGCCTTATTTATTGGATTTCTTGGGTTGTTCTGTGATTACAACCAGCGGCAAGAGACCATTTTGTGTGCTGTTTTAGATTTTGCCAGAAATATCTTCAGCTGCGTTCAGGTTCCCAAGTGGGGAGTCTTACCACTGAAATTGTGGATTGGATAGCCAGGGGCAGTTTGGATAAAACTGGTATTTGAGAGCAGGTGGAAACGTGGAAAAGGTTTAACTTTAAAAACAAGATGTTAGTATCTACAACTTTTGTATTTAACATTTTTCTCTAAATTTCAAATTAGATGCAAAAACGGGGTCTGAGAGGGGGAAGTTTATTCGTGTCCGAAAGACAACGCCTACTTCGACATTGTAGGCTAGCCAGGGTCCAACTTGAAACTTTCAGATGGTCACAAATTGTAAGAAATGGCATTCTACTGGAGATTTGAGTAGTACGTTAAAAAGTGAGAGTATCTAAATCATTTTCTTTGATTTTGACAGGTAGCGGGTGGTTTTTTTAAGTGTTCAAACCCTGAAATATTTCGGAAATTAGTGATCCTACGAATAAATGTTTTAAATAAAAAGTTAATATATGGGAAGGGGAAGTTTATTTGTGTCACAAAAAACTGTTCTTCGTTCTTGTTCTGTGTTCCGTAATTCATTTGTAAGAGCTATTTCCCTTTGACACAAATTTTCTTAATTGGGCCCATAGTGCGCCACCTGTCAAAATCAAAATGTACTCGTACTATCAAATTACTTGACAAGATAATAAAAACCTACATTTCTTCAGCAGTGTCACTGATATTCATGCTAATTATATTATCATCACAGCTGATATATCGTGATGTTATATAAGCTGTGCTATCATGTTGAAAGGCGGATGGGTTCATTCCAGAGCTAGATGCATGAATATCCTTGACTTCTGTAGTTCTGTTCTTTTTTACCACTCTCTCAGACCTTTGAGACCGTTGAACTCCATCACACTCTTTTCTCAATGGTAATTTTAAGGTCGGCAAGGCTTTATCCTTCAAAATTCGAGCATTTCTTGTGCTATAATTAAGCAACCTCTGCCTTAAAGGGATTTAAAAACATTCAGGAGCAAATGCACTCTGCAATTAAGAGCGTGATTATAATTATAGCCAAAAAAGACCACTCATCAAGCTACTAGGGATGCTTGGTGGAGAATGCTTTGGCAACATCGCATGGCAGAACAAGGAGAGGATCAAACGCGAACTAAACCGTACTTTGTACGCTTGCGCTAGGAAATCCTGTCAACACGTCTGACAGTGAAATATTTAACAAGTTTTATGTTTATGGTACACCTACTCGTCTTTATCTATGCACCTACGCATTGGTATTTATTTGCCAAAATGTGCTTCCAAATTTTGATATAAACTAAATTTAATTTTATCTAAATTATTTACAAGCTACAATAAGAGCTTATTCTAGCATAATTAAAAGTGTTCGTGGTAAAATGGCACTGGATATGAAAAGAATCGATTTAATCAACAAAGATGACATCAGAAATATACAAGATTTCTATGGAATTCATGCAAAAGACGACTGTACACATCAGGATGATTCAGCAAGTGTCCATTTGTGGGTATTAGAGTGTCAGGAAAGTAGTGAATTAAATATAGTTTTATATGCCCCAAGGTGTAAAAGCACAGGAGTGCTGTACATAAAGAAATGCCTTATAATACCCATTGGGTGCCATATAATTGTGTGATTTTGAGCTTAGTACTATTTTGGTAACGGTTTTCCTGTAGCATTTATGTTTTCTAACAAGAAACACCTTTTAACTTATGAAATATTTTTAAGACCATTAAAAACATGTTGGTATAATTAAACCTAACGTTTTTATGTCAGATATTACCAATACGTACTACAATGCAGGGGGCAAAACAATTGAAAGCGTTCCAAATCATTTACTATGTTCATGTTAATAGAGGGTGGCAATCAAATCTTTAAAAAATTCTAACACTGAGAACAGAG